CACGTTGACGATGTGCTGCTTGAGATTCGAATTGTTCGAGTAAATCTTGCCGCACTCTGGACACTTGGGCTTGCTGGATTGGTTCGCGTTGTCGGTCTGATGCGCGTGCGGTTGCTGATGAAAGCGGCGATGGGTCTGCTGATGGAACAAGGCCATACTCTCTTGGATCTTCTCCTTGGCGCACGACTGCAGCATCAGATTCAACTCGTTTTTCGCGGTGGCGGTCTGTTGCTGTTGTTGCTGCAACGTTTGCAGGTTGTTCTGCAGCTTCTGATGCATCATCGTCAGCTGCTCGGTATTCAGGCTGTTCAGGGAGTTGAGCGAGTTCAAGGCATTTAGAGCGTGTTGCTGCGACGCTTGGCTGGTGGCGTGGAGGTGATGGTGATGATGATGCTGCTGGAGCAGAGACGACAGGTCCTGACCTTTCGAGTTGTGCACTCCGCTCTGGTAAGTTCCAGACCCGGTCGTGTGGTCGTTCCTCGCGGAGGACGTACCCGGCAACCAACCGGAACTCGAGCTTGAACCGTCTCCTCCAGAGGGCTGCCATCGCCCTGGAACCACCAGCCAATGTCAGTCCTCAGCCAACCTCGTACGATTCCTTAAACACTATTCAATCTCTTTTTTTTTGTCCTCCCATAGCCCTTTGTTTTTTCTTTCGTTCGTTTAGCTCTCTTTTTTTTTGTCATTCCTGTCACATTGTTTCCCTCCCCAAATTGCATGTGTGTGTGTGTTTACTTTTTTACTATTATTTTTTTTTTTTTTTTTTACTGAATATCTATGATCGAATCGTAGATTATACTGTTTTTTTTTCTAAGGTATATTTCCACGCAGGTATCAATTTTGTTGTTTGCTGAACGTTTGTACTTTGTCCTTCTTCATTTGCCATTTTCGTACCTCCACCCTCTCGTTTTATTTCCATAAACAGTTTTGAAACTGTCGATTGAATTGGTACCTCGCCTCGACCGACCGACCAATTAGCCTCGGCAGGCCTCGAAAAGAAGGGTCGTTCTTTTTTCTCTCTTTTTTTTTTTTTTTTTTTTTTTTTTCTTTCTAAAGAATTCGAGATTTAAAGGAGTCGAGCTTGGCTTTGCATGCCAACCCTAACAATTCTGTTTCTAACGACCGCAGGCCATTTTTGCGCAGGATAATCGATATTATTCCGGCAAACGGAACTCGAAGAAGAGCCGTCGGAGATAACGTAGCTGCTGCTATTCACCATGTTTCTACGTCTTTCTCTTTCGTCGCATGATTTCATGGCTTGTTCTTTTTTACTACGTCGTTGTTTCTTTTTTTTTT